TTCAAACTAAACTCAAGACGAGCACCTCCCTTTGACTCGAACACTCCACAAAACATGGATTCTCAAAAGGGGGTAACACTACTTTCTTCGGGTAGCTTCGGATGCCTTTTGGTTTTTTCAAGGGAATCTCCTTCACACTTGGTTCCCCACCATGGTTGCTGTGCAAATTGGCAAACCAACAACACCAACCACCAAAACCACGCCGGGAAGCTGTCCGTCCGTCCTTCCAGTTGCTCTTCTTGAGCCGCACCGGTCGGTTACCCACATAGCGGCCGTTCACATCACGCAATGCGGCGACCATGTCCTGGCACCGATGCGAAAAAAAAACACGAGCGCCATGCGCAGGGAGGAGGGGAGGATGAGGGGCAACTGACAACGCATTCGATTCAAAGAAAGCACGCGTCCTCCGTTGCGCAACTAGCCAAGGTTTTTAATCATTGCACCATTAGATTGATTCACAAACTTTGGTGGCTCAAGAAAAGACTTAAGCACGCAGCACGAACATACCGGAACCTGGTTCTCAAAGGCATCGCGCCAGACTCATTCGTTCAGTGGTGCTACACACAGAGTGGATTAGCTTACCTTGCTGGAAATATCCCATGAGATGCAATCAACGTCAGTAGTTACTGGGGAGCAAGCTGTAGTCTCTGCAGGGTCAGTGCACCCTGCAATCGGTACAGATTTCCTGTAGCATACGTATTTTATTGAATGTCTGTGACCTACTCTGACAAGATCAACAACTGGCTGTGGGTGAAAACCAGGGGACCTTGCTTGACCACCAAAACTGATCAGAATAGACGACGAGACATAGTCAAACCACCGGGGCGAACCGGGCTTTAGGTTTGGACTCACAGCTGATTGACTGATTCGGCTGAGCACGGGAGCTTCCTTGCAGCGTGAGCTATCCTGCGTCCACTTACTAGAAGCGTACTTGCTCCTAGTAGTAAGGCCAGGAGCTCCTAGTAGCGATGCCCTTGCTCCTAGTAGCTTCTTGCTCCTAGTAGCGATGCCCTTAGCCCATACTCAATTGAGTAGGTAGTCTCTACTTATACTGTGTACAAGTGTCTTCGGATTTGTCGGTTGGCAGGCGGCCTACTAGGTTGGAGGCCATTGCTAATGGGTTGTCCCTGCGCGTCTCCTCGGGTGCGCTGAAGGAGACGAAGCCATAGCCTTTGGTCTTTCCGGTTCGCTTGTCTCGGATCACCTCCAGAGCAGGGTGCGATGTGAACAAACGCATCGGCGTGGCGAAGGAAGGAGTCAACGAGGCGACACATCGACATGAGCATTGAAAGGCCTTTCTTCAAACTAGCAGCAACAAGAAGCTATTAGTAACAAGTGCCACGCTAGTAGGAACAAGTGCCTTACTAGTAGTAACAAGAAGCTATTAGTTAATTTAATAGACGTTTTCTTGGACGCTATGCTCGGTGGCCATCGCAAGTAGGTTGGAGGCCATCGCTACTAGGAAGGACGCAACAGACTGCAACAGATCCTTTCCAACGGTTGAAGAAAACCACGAGAACTCAGCGGTCAAGTTCCATCTTTGCAAAAGCAGCCCCTCTCTGATTCCGTGCAAAAGCAGCCCCTGAGCCGTCAAACGGGACCCATACACATTTGGCACCGTCGAATGAGAATCTACTCGCAGTCCGTGCCTTGGCCTTCTGGAAGGAACTGTATTTTCGGAAGGCGTTCGCCAACCTTGGTTATTACCATGCTCACATTTCTTGTGCCAGAAGGAATCATGTTGTACTCTGGAGTTGGACAGGTTCGACCACTAGGACCGCCTGAGTAGTAGATGGAAAGTCCGCAACTTGGACTTGGCGAAAAATAACGCAAAGAAACACACGGATTTTCCAAAAAAAAAGAGAGACTCGTCAGAGGTACAGCTCAACTCTGCCGATGTCCGGCTGGGGCCCAAGGCAAATCGTCCGTGACCTCGTTACCCAAATCTCCGCAAAAGAGCCTTCCGTTCACCGCTCGCTTCAACGTGGGCCATGCAGCTCACCGCAGAATGTGAGGTGTGTCTCACACTAGGGGGAAATCTGCAATGGTAATGACCTCCAACCTAAGAGCAATGGCCTCCACCGTACTCGCGTGTCTCAAACTAGGGGGAAAGCTCCAAGCATGCCATTTTTTCCATATTCTTTTTTGTATACAGAGAGGTAGGAAGCGCTATCGCTGAATGCAAGAAGCGCCGTAAATATGTCAAAGACCAAACAAAGACGTCGAGGAGCTCACCCTTTGCTTGGAGTCCTTGCAGTGTTTCGTGCAGACGCGTCGTGCATGCGGTTCACGGAGATGCTCAAATCCGGCATGGCTTTCGACCGATGCTGATCGGCGACGCATGGCGCCTGTAGTCCTCCTTGGGCCAGTCATCCAAGGTCGGGTCACGCCACACCTTTCCTGAGGCCTGGCAGCGAGTAGTAACAAGTGCCACGCTACTAGGAGCAAGAAGCTATTAGTAACAG